TGGCGCAGCGCCCCCTATCGGCGGTCCTGGGAGCGGGGAAGGAACGCGCGGAGGACGGGGCCGGACCTCGCGCACGCGCACCAGGCCCCGCCCTACGTGAACGGTCGCCGCTTTGTGAGGTGGCTCCGCGGTTCGGAGGGGGCGGGAGCGTGCGTCAGGGGCGGTGCTAGGCCGCGCAGACGCACCCGGGGACACTCGTCCCAGCCCCGCCCCAACGGTCGCATTTTGTGTGATGGCTCCCCTACCCCGGCTGGACAACTCGACCACGCCCCTAAGGCTGGGTCCCGCCCATAGCCCCGCCCGGCATTGTGAGGCGGCCCGCCAAGAAGCTCCGTCTAGCAGGAACGAGGCTCCGCCCCTAGACTTGCCCTGTCTCCTCCCACTATGTCTCGCTTTGTGACGTAACCCGCGCTGGGGGGCGGGCGGAACAGAAGGGCGGGGTCGAAGCTGAGAGACACGCCTCCAACCCATAGCCCCACCCATCCCATAGTCCCACTCAACCCCTTCTTCCTTGGGTGCAAAGGTCCTTTGAGTTTGATCCTCACCTTAGCCACCAACCTGAACCCTGTGTGGATACCCCTCTAGGTTTCAACCTCTCCTCCTGTCCCCCACCACCTTCGCTACCATCCCATAGCCCTTCCCACCATCTTCAGGTTCCTCTGGCGCCTTCCCCGAGAAGAAAACTCCAACCAGTCCCTCATATTGCTCATGGGTAATTCTCTTCCCCAAATGATGAAGCCAGTTTAGCAGAGAAGGTGCCCCTTCCCCGTCCCCTACATCTTCCATTCCAGCCTCTTTTTCTTGCTCCACTGTTTCTAAGCTCCCATTCTCTTTAGGGGGGCCCCAGGTTGCTTGGGACTATGTCCCATCATCCCTGAAGTCTATTTTCCCCAATTCCCTCCCCTAATCACTGCACCTCCTACTCCCAAGAGTACAAGAACCTTAGTAGACCCTCCTCCTGTAGCTCCCTCCTCACCCACAGCCCTCCCCATGCCCACCTGGAACACAGACTTGGTGCACAGCACTTACCCCATCTCCCAGGCATCCATTGATTGGACCCCAGGGGTCCCAGGTTTGAAAAAGACAACACTCCCTAGAGCTTGGGAACACCTCAACATGTGTTGTAATGAATAATTTAGGTGCAGAGACTCAGAACATACCCCAGGTCTTGTCAGCTCCAAAAACTCAGTGCTTGAGTCTGGTGTTAGAGATAAGGGCCCAGGCAGATGGAGGGGGACCTGTGGAAAGCACAGACCTCCCCATTTCCTTGCCTGGTCCTGAGAAGCTGAGAATCCAGAGGGGCTTTCTGCTTTCTGCCCAGGCAGCAGGTCAGTCAATGCCTATGCCTTTTCCGGTTCTCGCACTACTCTTTGTGAAGAAGGGTCCCCTTCATCTCATCTGTTCAATTCCCTGAGAAAACAGCAGCTAAGAGCCCCGCAGAAGTAGCTGGAAGGAGCGTAGCCACCATACAGCTCAGCCAGCTTGAAGGAGAGGGCTTAATGGAAGATGCACAAACATAAGACCCCAGTGCTCAGAGGGGGGACCGGAAAGTACTGAACTCAGGGAGCTCCGGTGAGGATGAAGTGGAGGTAGGCCTCTTCCGGGGCCCGGAGATGCCAGATGCCACAGTGGAGCCAGAATGAGCGTCCAAGGTGGCCATATCCTCTTCTGAAGTGTTTTTCTGTGTCTGTGCAAGAAAAAAGGAAGAGAACTGACTTAGGGTCTCAGAATTGACTTGACAACACTTAATAATAACAATACTCACATCGTAGGGTTGGCGTTGTTGTTATTAAGCACTGTGGAGTCAGTTCCCACTCATATAGCAACACTGTATAGGGTTTCAGAAGGAGCTCTGGTAGCGTAGTGGTTACTAATCGGGCTGCGAACCTTAAGGTCAGCAGTTTGAAACTACCAGCTGCTCCGCAGGAGAAAGATGAGGCTTTCTGCTCCCGTAAAGATTTACAGCCTCAGAAACCCTGTACAGGGTCGCTATACTTAACAACAACAATAGGGTTTCAGAGGAGCAACTGGTGAGTTTGAACAGCCAACATTGCAGTTCAAACTGACCTTGTGATCCAGTGCTTATCCTACAGTGCCACACCAGGACTCCACGGTTACTGTTGATGTTGCTGTTGTAAAGTGCCATTGAGTCAGTTCTAACTCAGCTACCCTGTATAGGGCTCCAAGGAGCAGCTGATGAGTTTGAACCGCTGACCTTGTGACTCAAACCAACCTTGTAATCTAGTGCTTTATCCCACAGCACCATAAGAGCCTAAAAGTCAGCAGTTGGAACTCACCAACTGCTCTGAGAGAGGAAGATGTGGCAGTTTGCTTCCGAAAAGATTACAGCCTTGGCAACCCTATGCTGTGCCCTAAAGGGCTGCTATGAATCAAAATCAATTTGAGAGCATAAGAACAACTGGGAGGCAATGAGACTTAAAGGTGTTAAATAGATGGAGTGCCTGGCACATTGTAAGCACCGGCTAAGTGTTAAATCAACTATTACTCTGACCTCCTCCTCCCTTTCCATTCTGTGTTTCCTCAAAAGTCTAGCCACTCCTCTGCTTTACAGGCTCCTGCCCCAAATGCCATTCAAGGAGAAATGAACTTGCTAAAACATATGTTCTTCCTCACTGGGCAACCCCAGGAAAGCCTGTAACCAACCTGAGAGTCCTCAATTGGAAATATATTCAATCCACTCACAGGGTGTGTTAAAGTTGACTATCAGACTTTCAACACGGTAATAGAGTCAAAACTCCAAGACATTGTGATTTCAACTAATGCACACTAACGCTTCAAAAAGATGCTAGGAAAAAGTCTAAACTAGAGTGTACTTACCGTTCAAGAAAAGAAGCAGCATGCATAACTGTGTAGAGCATGCTGTTCTTGGTGTGAAAAAGTAAAAAATGAAAGAGGGTACATTGTTGCTATTTTAGGATGTAGTAGAGTCTAAGGCAACTTTATGTCCATTAGAACCAAGCAATCAGCCCTTTGTCATCTTCACAATGGCCAGCATGTTCAAGTCCATGGAAGAGGAGAGCCGCTGTAGCTACATGAAGGAGCCCTGCTGGCACAGAAGATTAAGCACTTGGCTGCTAATCGCAAAGTCAGCGGTACAAATCCACCAGTTGCTCCAAGGTAGACTGTCTGCTGCCATAAAGATCTACAGTCTCAGACACCGTAGGGAGCAGTTCTAGTCTGTTCTGTAGGGTGCTATCCACTCCATGGCAGTGGTTGGGTCTTCTCATGAGGAATCTGGGTGGCACCTCGCTGGTTTGCAATCAGCTGCTAACCATCTATCTCCCTGGCTTCAGAGACAGCCCGGAATGCCCCTGGAGTGTACTTTCGCTTTCTATTAAACCTGCTTTCTCACACTCCTGTTGTCTTGCTCATGTCTGTGTCCCCAACACCTCATGCGAATCTGCCACTCTTTTCTAGAAGTCCAGGAGAATTCCCGTGGGACGTTCTGTATTAGTTCAAACTCACCCAGTGTCTCCACAAATGAAAGCCTGACGATCTATTTCCACGAAGATTACAAGAAAACCCTGTGGAACGGTTTTAGTCTGTAACACACGCAACAGCTGCCAGCAACAACATCACATGTGATGGTATTTGCCTCCGGAAGCTCTGACACTGCTTACCTCTGTGTGTGTGTGTGTGTGTGTGTGTTTAAGGAACCATGGTAGCGCTGTGAGTGAGGCTTTAGGCTGCTAACTTCAGTGTCAGTAGTTCAAACTCACCAGTCACTCCTTGGGGGAGACAGATGAGAACGTCTCCTTATAAACAGTCTCAGAAACTCTATGTAGGCTCCCTATGAGTCAAAATCGACTTGGTGCCAGTGAGTGGTTTGGTGTGTGTGTGTGTGTGTGTGTGTGTGTGTGTGTGTAGAGGGAGGACTGGGTGGGTGGACAGCTTCTAGTGACAGAAGGAAATGACTGGACATGTAATTTTGAATATAAATATACATTGTGGTTGTTGTTGGTAAGTGCTATAGTGACCCTGTATAGGATTTCTGAGGAGTTCTGGTGAGCTTGAACTGCCAACCTTGTAGTTCAAACCATATCTAAAATGTGGGGGAGAAATTTAATTTTTAAATTAAAGTCCTTAGGACTAAAATACTGAGAAACCAGTTCTTTTTTCTGCTTGTTTCGTTTAAAATGTCTTTTTAAAAGGAAAAATCACCAGGTTGGTCACTTGGTTCCTCATGGAAATTGTAGAACTCTGACGAGCCTGTGGGGGTTTTTCTTAAAAGCTCAGGGTTTATTCTGTGAGCTGCTCTCACAGACCCACTTCCTTCCCGCCATCTGTGTATCAGTGACCCCAGGCGACCTCTCTCCAGAATCCAGACTATCTGCTCTTGGGCGCCTCTGGGTAAGGTGACCTATCTGGTCCCTTGAAGCCTGCCCCTCCCAGATGGGTTCCCTATCCCAGAAAAGGGCAGAACTTTGAAACTAACACCCTAGAAATCACCCCTGGTGTTATGCCTCCCCCGGCTGCCCCAGCCCCCTCATTCCAATCCAAATCCATCCTGTCTTCCCACCCACCACGTCTCCCCTTCACTCATGACTTCTTCCACCTTCACTGCCAACACACCCCCACCACCACCTGGTACACCTGGTGTCTTTCATCTTCATCCCCAGAGACTATCCTACCCATAGGACCAGACGATACCTATGAACACCTGAGTCAAGGTACCCTCCTCCCCTGCTCAGACCCCTCCATGGCTCCAGCCTCGCTCAGAGTGAAAGCCAGCGTTCTCCCATGCCTCACACTACTCCATCCCAACTATTCTGGGCCATGCTACCTCACATTCTTCCCCAGCTACCTCCCATTGTCCATTGTCGCCCCATCTCAGAAGGGCCCTTCCTGACCTCCCATCTCAAATAGCTTCTGGGTCATTCTGTACCCCATCCTTCTAGTCTGTGTGTCATCCTCTGTCTCGTCACATGGAATAGCCTTGTTCTTGCCAGTGTCTCCACCTATCACGGTCCAGATGCCCAGGACACGTGTGCTGAATGTTTTCTTGCCAGTTGGGCCAAGCTGCTTCCTCCTCCATCCATGGTGGCTGTTAGGAATTGGACTGTGTCCCCAAAAATTATGTGCTGTAAATCCTAACCTCTCTTGTTGTGCTTGGAGTCCTGGTATGGCACTGCAGGGTAAGCACTGGACACAAGATTGGTGGTTCAAACCAACCAGCCATTCCTCAGAAACCCTATGCAGGGTCAGTAGAATCGGAACCAATTTAACAGCACTTAACAACAACAACAACCATGATGGTGCACTGGTTACGTGATCAGTTGTTAGCCAAAAGGTCAGTGGTTCAAATCCACCAACTGCTTTGTTAGAGAAAGATGTGGCAGTATGCTACTGTAAAGATTGTTGTTATTGTTAAGTGTCGTTGAGTTCCAACTCATAGTGACCTTGTGTAGGGTTTCCAAGGGGCAGCTGATAGGTTTGAACCACCAACTTTGCGGTTCAAACCAACTTTGTGGTCCAGTGTTTATCCTACAGAGCCATAATCGGAACTCCACTGTAAAGATTGTTGTTGTTGTTGTTGTTAAGTGCTGTCCAGTTGGTTCCAATCCATAGCTTTCCAGGGAGTGACTGATGAACTTGAACAGCCGACCATGCGGTTCAAACCGACTTTGCAGTCATGCGTGTTAACCCACAGCACCATACCAGGATTCCACTGTAAAGACTACAGCCTTCAAACCCTGTGGGGTATACTTCTTCATCCTGAAAGGGTAGACTCAGCAATGGGTTTGGATTTCTTTGTTAAGTTAATGCAGTAGTCTTAATGCGGCTTGTGACTTGAGTCAAGAACTTTTGAGATCTAAAAGCAGATGAAGCAAGTAAGTGCAGTTAAGATGGATGCCATACCACAAGAGATGTCCAAGGATCTAAGAAACAGAAGCTGAAGAGAGAAAAGGACTTCCCCCCAGTCCCACCCCCCAGTGTCAGGAGCCACCAGAGAGAGAGAGAGACCTCTGGAGTTGGCACTCTGAATTTACACTTGTGGCATTCTAAACGGAGAGAATACGTGTCTGTCTGCCACCTACTTGTGGCATTTCTGTTATGGCAGAATTAGTAATAAGACAGTGACCAAGTCAACCAGCTCAACTCCAGGCTCCCCGACAGCCATCCTGAAGTATCCACATTTCCCAAAGGGATCTCTGAGGCTACCTCTAGTGGGGCCATCTGCACCCCAGATCTGAGTCCCCCTCCAGGTGGTGAGAAGTCAGCTGACTTTCCTTGAGCCATGGTGTTCATGAGCCAGACTTCACTCTGATTTATTACACACACAAAAAGGGGTAAGTACCAACCAAGTCCACCCCAGGATACTGCTGTGTAGAGGAGTTCCATAGATCCAAGTTCAAATCCCAGGCCTGCCACTGTAGGACCAGGGGGAGCCACACCCTTTGCTAAGTGGGCGCTTCTGAGATCCTTCCATCTGAAAGGGAAATACAGCCGGGCCCTTTCTGCTGAACTCCATGAAGCTGAACGCTAACACAGCTCCTCTAGTACCAGACAAGGACAACAGTGTGCATCACAAGTCTCCATGACCCCACTGTAACTCCTCAGTCACCATCCTAGAGGGATGGTGTATGACCCCATCTTTGCCTTCAAGCAAAGATAACACTGACAACAGCTAGCATCCTCCCCCACAGCAACACCAACGCCCAGCCAACATTCCACCTTCAATCCTTTGTAACGTGGACCTTCCAGAGTCAGCTTTCAACTCACAGACAGTGACTTCTTCAGTGACTCTGGGCACCAGGTCAAACTCAGCCCATCCCTGTCCTCCCCCCATTAGTACAGGAAACCGGTGCCAAGAAAAGGAACCACTCACCATTGAGATGGCAAACAAGGAGTTATCGAAGGACATGTCTGGAAGAGAAAAAGTGGAAAGCCGGGACGGGGATCAGTTTGACACTTTCCTGCCCACTGCCGCCTCCCACCCTCACAGACCACAGACCCTAAATCCACAATGAGGAGGGGCAGGGCCCAACTCCCAGCACCCTCTCTGGCTCCCCTCCAGCCCACTGTGAGAAGTAAACCAGTAAACCGATCCAGCAAAGGAGAGAACCATGATGTTCCCCTCTCAAAGCCTTCCTCCAGGGTCCCTTGTTGCCATCAGAAAAATGGAGGTTTTGTCTCAACTCAAGTAGCTCTGGTTCAGTGAGTTAAGTGCTGGGATGCTAATTGAAAAGTCAGCTCACCAGCTGCTCCGTGTGAGAAAGATGAGGCAGTCTGCTTCAGTAAAGATTTACAGCCTCAATAATCCTATGGAGCATATCTACTGTCCTATAAGGTCACTAAAGGACTCTGGTAGCATAGTGGTTACAAATCGGGCTGCGAACCGCAAGGTCAGCAGTTCGAAACTACCAGCTGTTCCGCGGGAGAAAGATGAGGCTTTCTGCTCCCGTAAAGATTTACAGCCTCGGAAACCCTGTGTAGGGTCGCTGTGAGTCGGAAGCCCACGACACATAACCAACCAACCAAATCTTTATAGGAGCAGAAGGAGCGGCTGGTAGAGTCCAACGCTGTATTTGAGATTAGCAGCTCAGCTGGTAATCAGCAAATGTGTGGTGGTGGTGTGCCTGTGCCGTGGAGTCGGTTCCAATTCCTAGCGACCCTGTTTAGTGTTTCCAAAGCTGTGAATCTTTACGGGAGCAGAAAGCCTCATCTTTCTCCTGTTGAATGGCTAGTAGTTTCGAACTTCTGACCTTAAGGTTAGAAGCCCGACTTGTAACCACTAAGCTACCAGAGCTCCTTTCATAATCACTTGTTGTTGTTAAGTGCCGTCGAGTCGGTTCCGACCCATAGCGACCACCGACTTTGCAGTTCAAACGGCTTTGCAGTCTGGCGCATTAACCCACAGCGCCACACCAGGACTCCTTCATAATCACTACGCTACCCAAAAAATCAAGCTTCGCCATGCAAGGCCCCTTCAAGAGAGCAACACATTTTACAGGCTGCCTGCCTCCCGCCCCCTAGTGGACAGCGGCAGAATGACAGCTCTGGACAATTTAAAAGTGGTTTAGGATTCCTCGTGTGGAACTGTAGGATAAGCACTCCACCCCAACGTCGGTTTGATCCACAAGCGTGGTGGTTCAAACTCACCAGCCACTCCTCGGAAACCCTATATAGGTTTACTATGAGTCGGAACGACTCGACGGCACTTAACAACAACAAGATACCAGGTACAAAGACAGCTCCTGGAAGGCAGTGGGGAGCAAAGTGGTCATATTGCGGAGTTAACCATCCAACAGGGGCGGTGAAATGCTAAGTACACAGCATACAGAATATAATGGTTATTTGTGTTGTTGTTAAGGGATAAAGGGAATTGCCAGGCACTGGGGCATCCCTGAGTGATTCAAAAGACTAGCGTTCTAAGCTGCTAACCGAAAGACTGGAGATTTGAGTCCACCGTGGTGTTCTCCTTCGGAAAACTCTGCCATGGACAGCCTTACACACACCTCGAAGAATGTGATGAATGTCACGGTAACGTGTGGAAACTGTTAATTAGTGTTTGAGGGAACTTCAAAGAGTTCATTGAAAAACACCATTGAATTCTTTCATGAACTTTTGGTAGCTTCTTTGTATATTTTGCTGTGTATATATTTCCACAACAATTTTTTTTTTTTAATTTTTAAAGAAAACACTATAAAGTACAGTTATATTCTGACACACAGGGGGGCGACAGGAATTGACTAAAGACAGCTGTCTTGGCTTCTTTTTATGGGAGTGGGCATTAAGTAGGAAGTCAAGACCTGGAAGAGGTGAGCCTTGGGAGAGATGGGAGGGGCTTCCCTTTCAGAAGGAGAGCAGTGTTAGTGAATGGTGAGGAGAGCAGGTGAGAGGTGATATATAGCAGGTGGAAGGGTCTGCTCACCACCCAGAAGACTGATGTAGGTAGGGAATAATGAGGCCCACTGGAATTTTGGGGTGGGGGACAGAAGGGAGGGTCACACACCTGTGGTGGCGAAGTTAATCTGGGCCCAGCAGGATTCTCGCTCTCTGCAAAGGGGTTCAGGAGAAAGTGAGGGCCCACCCAGCCTCCAGCCCTATGCTGGGTCAAGGGGGAGCCCTAGGAAGTCCTGGCCCCAGACCAGGGCCAGGACTTGACCTTCAGATCCCACCTGTCTGCGCATCCTTTCCACAGAAAGCAACAATGCTTGATCCTAGGAGCTGCTACCCTAGACCAGGCTTCCCACACCCTAACCCTCTCAACACCCAGACAGCTGGAGGGGAAAATGAAGATGTGGAAATTTACTTGCTCACGTTTTCCTCAGGGCCAGGTGATTCAAACCCTAGCACACATCTTGATACCCAGAAACCAGGGTCACAACCTAGAGGTACAAACTGGACTCTGGTTCGCCCCATAGGTACCACTCGACTCCCCCATGATAGATTCCTAACTAGATTACAATAACCTTCCAGAAGCAGTAAAAGAGCAACATGAGGAAGGCTCTGTCACTTGCTCCCTGTGTGACCCAGCACTGCTCCTCACTCCCCTAATCTGTAAAATGGATTTATTTCCAGGGCTACACTGCTTGTCCATCTCCTAGCTCTTAATAAATGGCTCCTGTTCCTATTCATCAGTCCTCTCACTGGTGGGCGCCGTTTGGGTTGGGAATCCAGGAATTAGACCCAGGACCTTAGCAAAGAGTCTTTGAGACCCATTAGAGGAATTCCTGGCTGAGATTTAGTGTTTCGGTTCCCAAAACCACCCTCTGAGGGTCCCCTGGGACTGTCTCACCTTTTCTTCTGCAAATTTGTGACTTTAACTGGGGATAGAAAAAACAAATAGCACAGTTAGTCTTGGTTAGAGCACATCTGGCAAGACCCTAGAACTCCCAGAAACCTCCGAGAGAATCTCAGCAAATGCTGGTTTGTGAAATTCCTGAAGGAGCCCTCGGTATAGTGGTTAAGCTCTCAGCTGTTAAAGGAAAGGTGGGCAACCCGTCAGCCTCGCCGTGGGAGAAAGACAACGGGGTTGTCAGCTTCTCTAAGGATAAAACCACTGCCCTCCAGTCTGTTCTGACTCATGGCCACCCTGTATAGAGTTCCCAACAATGTAAATCTTGATGGGTTTGAACTGCTGACCTTGTGGTTAGCAATCCAGTGCTTATCCTAGATAGCCACCAGGCCTTGGAGACCCTATGGGACATTTATACTCTGTTCTATATGGTCGCTGTGAGTCATAATTAACTCAGGAGCAATGGGTTTGGTTTTCCTTGTTGTTGTTGTTACATGCCTTCGAGTCAATCCCGACTCATAGTGACCCTGTACAGGGTTTCCAAGAGGCAGCCGGTGGGTTTGAACCACTGATCTTGTGATTCGCACTCCACACCAGGAGTTCTCATTCTGAATGCCTCCCCCTCCCTCCGATACTGGAAGCCCACCCAGCCTTGCCTTTTCGCCTGTCACTAGGTGAGTCCCTGCAGACGTTTCTTATTGTTTTCAATATCAGCAGTACCATGAAAATATTTCAATGTGAAAGCATCTGAAATTTGTGTTTTAAGAATATCAATTCCCTCTGCCCACCACCCTCATCTCACATACGGAGGATTCTCTGCTGCTAAGTCTTGGAGTAAGGCTTGCTCAAACTGTCTTCCTCCACACTTCTAACAAATGGACGTGAGTGTGAGCACATTTTCACGCTACAAAGGTTGAAAACTGGCTGTCCATGGCCTTATGATTCCTTTGCCTGCTGTTACCTTTCCTGATCACCATGACAACAGCCACCAGCACAACAAGGAGGAGGAGGGCTCCAGCCAAGCTCAGGGAAAGAGCCAGGATCCAAGTGGGCACTGGGAGAAAATGGGAAAAGAGAGGGCAGTTCATGGAGCTCACAGCCATAGGTGGGCAGGCAGCTTTGGAACCAGATCTCTCCTACTCTCCCTAGCCATGTGGGTTGGGCATTCAGGACCCTGGGGAGCAAGCAAACCTGGAGTCTAACCAATTAGCATATTCCCTCCCTCTAGTTGCCATGATTGGTTCAGGGAAGGCATGTGGCCTAAACTGAGCCAATGAAAGCTAATTCTGGGACTTTGGACCAGTGGAAAAAGAGGTTTATTGCTATAGCTAGCATTACAGAGCTAATAAGGATATATATCTGGAGCCACAAAATGCCAATGGGCAATTTGGCAGCATGACAGTGAAGACCTACCTGGGGAAAAAATCCTTACAGAAGCAAGTGGGTCTGGCACGTGGCAATGAATCTCTGACTTCTTTAAAAGCACCTTGATCCAACCACACCTGATGTCAGTGTGCGCCTGAACTGTTCAGGTCTACGAACTAATGAATGCCCTTGGGTTACTTAAGCCAATTTGAGTCAAATTTTCAGTGACTTGCAACCTGAAGAGTCTGGATGGTTTCAGCCTGGGTGTCACTGGGGTTCTCACCTACTTTGGACATATTATCAGGAGAAGCCAGTCCTGGGAGAAGAACATCATGTTTGGTAAAGTGGTGGTAGTGATGGTTGTGTGCTAGGGAGCCAGTTCCTACTCAGAGCGCCCCCGTATAGGGTTTCCAAGGCTGTAAATCTTTCCAAAGCCTCATCTTTCTCCTGCAGAGCGGTTTGTAGATTCCAACTGCTGACCTTGAGGTTAGCTGCCCAGCTAGAAATCCACTACGCTAGCAGGGCAGGGTTCCTTTGGTAAAGTAAAGGGTCAATAAAAAGGAGGAAGACGCTCAATGAGTTGGACTGATACTACAACAATGAGCTCAAATACAGAACTGAGTGTAGAAATGGCACAAAACTGGGCAGTGTTGTATATTAAGTTGCTCTAAATCAGAACCGATTTGATGACAACAACAAAAGCAGAGGGCCAGATGACATCCACACCCCCAGCCGCATGGTAGACTCTGAGGCCCACTTGGAGGTGAGGAGCAGAGGCACGGAACTGCAGCTCCAGAATTTTCTTCTCTGCAAAGACAATCCTGCCCCTACCCAGAGAGAAAAGGGATCTCTTAAGGCGGCCTCAGGGGAGATGTCCCAACTGAGGTCAGGAGCCAAACCAGGAGAGGAAGGAGAGACCCACACTTGGATTCTCACAGTGTTAGTCCTTGTTCATTCATTCATCTGGGGCAGGAAGGCTGTTGCCACCTCCCCACTCCAAGCCCACACCGCCAAGGTGAGAGAAGGGGGCCTTTGACAGAGGCAGGAGGTACACAGAGACTGTTCTGTCACACCATGATGGGCCTCAGCTGACAACAAACATCTCTTTGCAGCAGAAAGTTCTGACTGATGGGGACCAGCGGTGTAACTGGAGGCGGAGGCCCCCTCCACTCCCGGATCCAGAGCTCACACCCCACCCCCTTCTCCCAGAGAGGCCGGGAGAGACCTCAGCAGCTCCATGTCTCTCAGAAGAAAGCCAAAGTGTTCACTGTACTTCATAAGGTCCTGTAGAGACTGCCCTTTCCCCTCCCTGACCTCCTCTTCTTCCTCTCTCCCTCTTACTCCATTTTGGCCTCAAGGGGTGCCTCCATGCTCCTCCTGAGGTGCGAGCTTACCTCTGCACAGGCTGTACCCTCTCCCAGGACCATCTTGCCCCAGATGCCCACATGGCATCACCTTCTTAGAAGGACCTCTTGTGGACTGCCTTATGTTCTACTTAAAATTACTTCCTAGGCCAGGATCTATTTGCTCCGGGCACTTTCTTTATCCCAGCTCCTAACTGAATATTCATGGAACTGCTTGTTGATCCCAGTTAGCTGCAGAAACCTTAGCTGTCTTTCTCTCTGCAGTGCTTGGCACACAGTAAGCACTCGCAGATATTTGTGGCTAAGAGGGGAAGATGTAGTCTATCACGATACTGGCGTAAGGTCCAGATTTTGAAGGTTGTTATAGTGCCAGCTCGGGCCACCTGCTCCCCATGTGACCTGAACAACTCCCTTGACCTTCCATGCCTCCGTTTCTTAATCCATACCTAGCCCACAGGGTGGCTGGGAGAATTAAGAAAGGAAAGTCCTGACTTTCCTATGCAGAGTTCTGGGTAGAGGGGGCAGCCCAGGGACGGCTCAGTGGGGAAAAGCAGAGCTGCGAGAAGACCTCACCTGGGAAGGTAACGTGCACAGGCTCGCTGAGGTCCGACAGCTGGGCCTGGCTATGCTCCCCGATCACGCCGTACTGGCAGCGGAATGTTCCCCCTTGGCCCTCGTTGCTGCTGCCGCCGCCACTCAAGTTGAACATGACCCCTACCTGGTTCGCGGGGGCCTGCAGGATTTGGACCACCTGCCCCCCGTGGTACAGTGTGAAATTGGCACCTGGGAAGTCCCTGGAGGCCATGCACATGATGTAGATGGGGTCTTCTTGGCTGCTGGGGTGTGGGGGCACCAGCAAGATGGATGGGGCTGGAATTGCCAAGGAGCCTGCAATGCAGAATAAGGGAGATTGTGTAGGTGGCTGGTTAGAACGGAGGCCTAGAACCTAGGCTCCCTGACTTAGCCTTGGGCAGGTAGCTCTACCTCTCTGAGCCCTGGTTTTTATATACATCCGGAGGATAATGATTCCTACCCTACTGCTACTTTGAAAGGATCAAGTGCTCAGCATGGTGCATTTGAGTCATTTTATAATAATAGCTATGTCATTATAAAGGAGATCTGGTAACGAATACAGTGGTTACGAATGGGGCTGCTAACCTCAAGGTCAGTTCAAAACTACCAGCTGTTCCGTGGGAGAAAGAAGAGGCTTTCTGTTCCCAGCCTTGGAAACCCTATACAGGGTCACTATGAGTTGGAACCAAGTCCGCAGCACCTAATCACCACAATGTCATTATAAAACCAAGAAAACAAACCCGTTGCTATAGAGTAGATGTGGCTCATAACAACCTTGTCAGATAGAAGAGGGTTTTCAAGGCTGCCATCTTTATGAAGGAGTCCTGGTGTGGTACTGGACTGCAAGGTTGGTATGAACCACTCGGTCAATAGTTCAAACTCACCAGTCACTCCTCGGAAACCCAATACAGGGTCCCTATGAGTTGGAACCAACTCGATGACACTTGACAACAACAATCTTTATGAAAAGGAGGCCTGGTGGTGCAGAGGTTAAGTGCATGGCTGCTGACCATAAGGTCAACAGTCTGAACCCATCAACTGTTCTGTGGGAGAAAGATAGGGCTGTCTGCTCCCATAAACATTTTATAACTGAAGCAGCCAAGGAGGGCTTCCCAAAAGAGGTGAGATTTGCACTGAGTCCTAAAAGGTGAAGAAGAAATCAGGTAAAGGGCGAGGGGCAGAAGGACCTTCAGGGAAAAGACAGGGAGTGTGGGAAGGGAGCAATAAGGAGGCCAGGGTGACTGGAGGGGCACGGCTGGAAGAAAAGAGGGCAAAGGGAGCTTTCCAAAGCTGTCGTAAGGAGCATGGCTTAATGCAGGAGGAAGTCTCCCTGGAGAGCAAGCTCTGCCCCAGCTGTACACAGGTTGCTGAGCAGGGCGTCTGGCTCAGGTGAGACCCCCACAAGCCGCCCCTTGTTCATCTCCACACCTTGGCTCAGCCTCTGCCCTCTACTGTCAGCAGGACCTCCTGCTATGGAGGCCAATGGGGCTGAGTCATGGGGCGTGGGCACGTCCTTGCCAGCAGGCTGATCTTGCTACCATTCTTGACGTAGGGGTGGTGAGGTGCCCAGCAAGAGAAAGGCCTTCCTGGGGAGTTTCCAAGGCTCGTCGTCAAATCTCCTCCCTCACCTGGAAGGGCAGCCCAGCCCGGCACTGATTTCTGGGCCCAGAGCAGAAAGGTGGGTGCAGGTGGGGGCAGTAGGGTGGAGGTGGGAGTGGAGAGGGTGTCACACTCACCAGCTGCAAAGAGTAGGATGGTCCAGGGCATCTCTCCTCACGCAAGTAGCTGGGAATCTGGCTGAGGCCAGAGTGGCCCACGGCTGCCCGCCAACTTCTCTTGTGAGGCTAGCTCGGGGGAAAGGAGAAGCTGGGCTTACTGGAGGACAGTGTTTCCTCACTGGCAGGAAGTTGCACACCCTCTGGGCTCTGAAAGGGACTCCCTCGTTTCCCCACCCCTTTCATGAACGTACAACAGATCCTGGCATTTCTCTGCACCGTGGTTTTACAAATTGGAGGGAGAAACGGATGTGATGGTTGGGTGATGGTTTCTCCTTCTCCTTCTAAGAGAACTACTAAGCATGAGGAAGGATCATTGGCAGTAGGCTCTTTGGGGGAACCCACAACCAAGTCGCAAACCACAGCCCAATCAGCACCCAAACTGAGACAAATACATGGTGTGGGTAGTAGGCCACAGTGGCTAGGCTTGTTGGCCTCTGTGACCTCAGGCAAGACCTGGTCCTTCTTTGAAGCCTCGGCTTGTTGCTTTGTAGAATGGAGCTAAGAGTAGTGGACACTCGAGCCAAAGAACTCATGGTATGAAATGCAATGCCTAGTGCGTAGCAAGCGGTACCAGTTTGAAGACACAGGGAAGAAAAGTTTCATCACCCAGGCAAAAGGGACCACCAGCTCCAGAATGGAGGAAATGAAAAAGAGAGTTAACATGACAAGTTCCTTCCTATTGTTCTTGCTGTTGTTCAGTGCCATTGAGTCGGTTCCGACCCATAGTGACCCTGGATAGGGTTTCTGAGGAGCGAATATGTCTAAAGTATGAGACACAAAGTCGGGCCATCCTGGCCTCCAAGGAGCACTTTGGCTGCACTTCTTCCAACACAGATCTGTTGGTTCTTTTGGCAGTCCATGGCACTTTCAATATTCTCCTCCAACACCATAATTCAAATGCATCAATTCTTCTTCGGTCTTCCTTATTCACTGTCTAACTTTGCACGCATATGAAGTTATTGAAAATACCAGGGTTTGGGTCAGGCACACCTTAGTCCTCAAACTGACATTTTTGCTCTTCAACAATTTAAAGAACAAAATGAAGTCTTTGACAACTTCAGTCTTTTCTCCATTTATATGGATGTTGTTTATTGGTCTAGCTGTGAGGATTTTTGTTTTCTTTACACTGAGGTGCAACCCATACCAAAGGTCTTTGATCTTCATCAATAATTATTTTAAGTCCTTTTTGCTTTCAGCAAGCAATGTTGTATCATCTGCATATTGCAGGTTGTTAATGAGTCTTCCTCCAATCCTGATGTCATGTTTTTCTTCATATAATCCAGCGTCTCAGATTATTTGCTCAACATACGGATTGGATAAGTATGGTGAAAGAATACAACCCTGGCGCACACCTTTCCTGATTTAAAACCATTCACTATTCCCTTGGAATCCTTTGATCTCCTAAGGTTGATTGTTCGCCTTATGGTTTTATCTACCCTTTGGTTGAAATTTGAACCCTGGGGTGTGTTCAGTTCCAGACCTGAAAAGTGTCTCAGGGGTTCTACCAGATTCTATCAGACCAATAATCCTGGTCTTTTTTATGATTTTGAGTTGTGTTCCACACTTGTCTCCTGCTCTATCCAAGACCTTCTATTGTGATCTGTTTTCAGAATAATCAATAGTAGCTGGCCATCATACCCTACGTTTGCATATGCTGTGTTTAATTATAATTAAGTAGAAATATTTTGTTTCCTTGGTAGCTTTTTCCCTGTAAACCATGCCATTTAGAAGTTCTGTTAGATGCCATTGAGTTGGTTCCATCTCATAGCAATCCTAAGCACACTGGAATTAAACATTGTCCTGTCCTGCACGCTCCTCACGGTCTTTATGTTTCAGTCCTCTGCTGTTGCTACTCTGTCAGTTCATCTTGTTGGGGGTCTTTTTCTTTTCCGATGAACCTCTACTTTACCAAGAATGACATCCTTTTCCAGGGACTGGTCCCTCTTGATAACATGTCCAAAGTCTGTAAGATGAAGTCTCACCAGGTTCCCTTCCAAGGAGCATTCTGGCTGTACTTCTTCCAACACAAATTTTCTTACTGTTCTGTTCATGGTATTTTCAATATTCTTCATCAACACCACCATAAAAATGTATCAATTCTTCCCCAATCTTCTTTTTTCATTGCCTTACTTTCACACGCATATGGGGCGATTGAAAATACCATGGATTGGGTCAGGTGCACCTAAATCTTCAAGGTGACATCTTTGCTCTTCAACACTTTACAGAGGTTTTGTGCAGCAGATTTGTGAATGCAATCCATCGTTTGACTTCTTGACTGCTGCTCCCATGAGCATTGATTGTGGATTCAAGTACAATGACATCTTTGACAACTTCAATCTTTTCTCCACTTACGATGTTGTTTATTGGTCCAGTTGTGAGGATTTTTGTTTTCTTTACAGCAAGTTGTAATCTATACTGAAACTCTTGTTCTTTGATCTTCATAAGCAAATGATTCAAGTCCTCTTTGCTTTCAGTAAGGAAGGTTGAGTCATCTGCATATCTCAGCTTGTTAATTAGCCTTCCTCCAGTCCTGATGCCACATTCTTCTTCATATAATCCAGTTTCTTGGATCATTTGCTGAGTATACATATTGAGTAAATATGGTGAAATAGCACAACCCTGACTCACACCTTTGCTGATTTTACACCAGGCATTCCCTTGTTCTGTTCAAACAACTGCCTCTTGGTGTATGTATAGGTTCCGCCTGAGCAAGATTAAGTGGTCTGGAATTTCCATTCTTCACAATGTTATCTTTATGTCTATACAGTTATGGTCTATACAGTTGAATATCTTTGTATAGTTGATAAAATACAAGTCAACATCTTTCTGGTTTTCTCTGCTTTCAGCCAAGATTCATCTGATGTCAGCAATGATACCCCTCATCCCACGTCCTCTTCTGAATCAGCCTTGAATTTCTGGCAGCTGCCTACGAATGTGTTGCTGCAACCATTGTTGTTTTTTTAATTACCTTCAGCAAAATTTTACTTGTGTGTGCTATTAACGATATTATTAAATAAGTTCTGCATTCTGTTGGGTCACCTTTTTTGGAATTTTTAAAGAAGTCGTTTTTTTAATTCCCAAATACTTGGACTTTGAAAGCTTATAGTTGTTTTTGGAGTCCTTGTGCGGCGCTGTGGGCTAATGTGTCAGATTGCAAAGTCGATTGAACTGCAAGGTCGGTGGTTCAAGCTCACCAGCTGCTCCTTGGAAACCCTATACAGGGTCGCTATGGGTCGGAATTGACTCAAAGGCACTTAACAAGAGCATAGTTGTTTTTAGCTGCTGTGGTACCAAGTCCCTGACTCGTGGACCCCATACAGAATGGGATCAGACTGTTGTGACCCAGAGGGTTTTCACTGGCTAATTTTAAGAAGTAGATAGCCAGGCCTTTCTTCCTAATCTTAGTCTGAAAGCTCTGCTGAAATCTGGTCAGCATCATAGCAATATGCAGGCCTCCACTGGTGAATGCGTGTTGGCTGAGTAGGAAGTGCAGAGACTGGAAACGGAAGCTGGGTCTCCAGCACTGTTGTTGTTAAGTGCCTTCAAGTCGGTTCCAACTCCTAGTGACTATGTCTGTATAGGGTTTCCAAGAAGCAACTGGTGGGTTTGAACTGCTGACCTTTCAGTTCAAATTCACTTTACAGCCCAGTGCTTCTCCTACACTGATCTCAAAGTTCATTATTAGTAGGTTGGTTTTTGTTTTGTTTTGTTAACTTTCTATAGATAACAACATTTGCCATTCTCACCACTTTACATAGACAATCTGGCCACACCAACTAACCAACTGCCCTCACCAACCCCACAAGTCATTTCCAAATCTTGGTATTCTCTCGCTCCAATTTTTCTCTCTTTCCCCCTCCTTTTGTTTTCTTTTTCTTTTGCAGGGAAAGTTCCCAATGGTTTCTCCTAATAAAAACATTAATATATACAGTTGCCCCTCAAACACATGAAAAAAAAAAAAAAAAGACAAAAAATTTTCAAAGCAATCGGTTTTCTTCCTTTTTCCTTTAACTGCCTTCCCTGTCACCCAAGTTAGCATGTGTCTACAAGCTAGCCAGTGAATCATTCTCGCTTCTCTCCCACTCCTAAAAACCATCATAGAATGTTTCTTTTAACGTGAACATTTTTTCTTGACTTTTTACAGTGGTGGTCTCATATAACATCTGTCCATTTGTGACAAATTTCTCTCAGCATAATATCCTCCAAGTTTCTCTATCTTACAAAGTGTTTTACAGAGTCTTCTTCTTCAATGTTGTGTAATATTCCATTGTGTGCACGTACCAAAGTTTGCTCAACCATCCCTCTGCTGATGGGCTCCTAGGCTGTCTCCATCGGTTTGCTATTGTGACCAATGCAGCAATGGACCTGGGAGTGCAGAGATCTACTCATATCATGGCTCTTATTTCTTGAGGACATGTACCAAGTAGAGAGATTGCTGGGTCACATGGTATTTCTATTTCCAATACATGGGATGTACAGTGCTTGCTATACATGAGCTATAAATACTTTTTTTAAAATTTACTATGATTTTGTTGTTATTGTTGCTGTTGCTAACATAAATCCTCTGAGGTTTCTATCTTTTAAGTGGCTATTGTGAATTTGATCCTGTTGTGAATTGAGTGATCGTTTACATGGAAGAATATCGGTTTTACACTTATTGTTTTATTGTGATAGTCACAATCCCTCCATGCATCATCATTCAACAGTCTTTGGTTCTATTCCCTCTGGGTTTTTTTTTTTTTTTGGCGGGGGGGATGTACACAAAAATACTCAGGAATATGTAATCATTTAAACAACCCAACGGTACATTCTGCAAGCCTTCCTCCTGGCCACCAGCACACAGCCTTTCTCTTTCCATGAATCTAGAGTCCTTAGCTGCTCCCTCTCTCCATGTCCTCATCTCTGCCTCCATCTCTGGTGTCACTGCTTCTCTGGATAGGGTCCCACATTCCACTCATAATCTTCTCTCTTGATGGTCCTAGGGTCCTC